ATATGAGCTCTTTCTATATTTATTTTGGTTTCAAAGTTGAAATTTTATGACTCTAAAAATGTGATGTAATCAAGTAAAAAATAGCATTAACCTTACATGTGAGTGTACATGTGTTAATCATTTATATATATATATATGTATATAATTCAAATCTATTTTTACAGTTTTAAAAGTATTTACTACAATTATCACAAATTATTAATTCATAAATGTCATTGTGTTTTTTGGGAGTCACACCACATGACATTTTACAACCTGAACTAACCTTGCCTTGTAATTAAAAGGGTCAAATTATCAGATATATTGACCTTGTCTTATTTATCTTAATAAGTTGTGTTAAAATATTTTTTACCTATAAAAAAATAATAAAAGTATGCCAAACTACTTAATGTGGTTTTCTTTTCAAGAATTTAATTCTTCTGATGAGCCTTTTTAATTATAATTTCATGCCAATTTCCCCAAATATTCCCCACAAAAATATATATATAAAATTCATTTTAATTCAGAAAGTCAAAATATGCTTATCATCGGAGAGGTATTATCAAATAAACTGCATGCTTAATGTATTTTTGAATAAAATAACAGATCCGCACAACAAAATTAGTGTAATTTCATTGACTATTTGACCAGGAAAAAAAAGGTATCTTACAATGCAGCATAATTAAATGCTTTGTAATAGCCTTTGCATAAGAAGAGCATCTAAAGAGAGCTTCAGTTTTTCTAAATCCTAGAAGCTTCACTGTATGATCCACTACCCCACATTTCATTTGCTTTTCAAGCCATTTCCTGCACCTTCTACAGCCTTCCTCTGAGTGGCTTGTCTTTTGTAGGGTGAGATGGTTGAGGCCTAACTGCGGAGATGTAAGAACCCGAGTTTACCCGCACTCTGTGCGCTTATGAAAGAGGGCTGCCATTGATTTTGCAGTGTGAAGGACTAATAAAGATGGATCCTTTTCAGAGCAGGGCTGAAATGAGGGCCTACAGGTGAGAGCCGCAGACAAGCACAGCCACTTGTCCTTAATGGAAGATTGATTTTAATTGTGACACCACCTAATTGGCCCAGTTCTAAACGAATGAAAACAGGGAAAAAAGAAATGGAAATGAAAAGCAGAGGGTGACCAATGTATTTTCTCTAAAGCAACAGCACTTCAAAAGTATTACCATGACTCAGAATGTTTTTTTTTTCTCTTCAACATTACGTCTTTCTTGAGAGGGTAAAAGGGATGCACAGGGATGATCATTACTGTCATGAAGAAAGCTTCAAAAAGGTCTGAAACAACATCTGCAGTCATTTTCTTTTTCCTTTCCAAAAGTTTATACCAGAAAAGGTTGCAATCCAATTTTTGCTCTCATCTTTATTTAAAAATTTTTTATCTCCAATGGTAGTAGTACATAGAACCAAGCACGTTTCTTTTTTTTAATTTATTCATTTTTATTTAAAGTGCACCCTTGACTTCTGACTGTGACACACTCAGACTTAAATATTAGAAGCTAAATGGCTAAATGATCCCGAGTGTTGGAGGAAATGGGTTGTAATGAAATCTTTCATGCAAATGGCTCAGCAGAGCTTGAGGTTTTATTGCGCTTTCTGAATCAGATCAAACCACTCTCAGAAACTGATCACTTGTTGGGACTCAATAAATAAGTCTAGCAATGCTTGAACAAATCAAGACTGTGAAAAATACAGTGAGTACTGGTAGCTATACACATGAACACACACATAGAGATTCTTGGACATTTTACTTATGAATCAGAGACCTACAATTTCCAGAGACAATCGAAAATGTAATTGAAACTGTTTTACTGACATACTGGAATATAATACAAACATTGTTTTTGATTTTGAGTCTACTGTTGGTTTGAAACCATGTAATTTAGACACTTTTTATTTTGTGCATCATCCATCAGCATTTTTCCTTTTATATATTTCAAGTGTTATTCTTGGTATTCTCATCAATCAAACCAAGTATTTGTTTTATGCTTTACTCAGCACAGTGTGGCTCGGTACAGCACAACAATGCACTAGAAACTAGTAAATATGCCATTTGCAAGCCACACCATTCATCACATTTTGCATACTCACGTGCAGCACAGCAGATTATCAACTCAGGAACACAGTGGGCTATAAGAAGGACATTAAAATGCATTCCCCAGTGTCCTTAAAAATCACTGAGCCAGGAGTTTTTTAAAAATCTCTTTCACACATGGATCCAAATGCTTACGCACAAATACACCTGACAAGCTCTTATTTCAGATCAATACAATCGATCCTGCTTCCAGTGGACCAATGAACTAGAACTGATGTCATATTTGTGATGTCGACTTTTCGGTGAGGTCATTTCATTCTTGCCATTCGCTGCACAACACTGCACTCAGCAACTGTCAATCTGGGGGGCTCGTGAACTGTGCGCATTTCCGAACAATACATAACTCGAATGAATCTAACAAGGGCTTGAAGAACAAACCACACTAAGCTCCATTCAGTAAAGAGATCTAGTGATTCTCTCTTCACTGCTGCCAGAAACAGCTCTGCTAGAGATCTCTCTGACATTACAATAAAGCTGCTTTTTCATCCCCGCTGTTGAACCCTTCTCATGTCCTCCTGTGCAACAATCACAGTTTTATTTCCTCGCTTGGCCTTTCCAATTTCAGCGAATATTACCTTGCAGGAGGTTCTCCAAACAGGTAGAAATAAATCTGGTTTATATTGAGGGATATTCTCACAGAATCTTTTTTGGCACAATTACATAGACCTGTATCAGTCCAGGCAGGGTCTCATATTTGAGACACTGTGAGATCCTACTAGCTTTGTTGTTTATTCCAAGTAGGCTACATTCATCTTTTCTATCTGCACAGAAGCTGTTAAGACCAGCATGATCTTCCCGTAGTAATGGTGTGAACGTGTGAAGTAATGTGACTTAACTAATAACAACTGGCAGGTTATTACAGGATATGAATGAGGATATTAAGGAGCTGCTGCCTACTGTTAACAAATCTGCAGAGGTTTATTGCTGAACGTTTTATTTTAGTGCAGTGTAAACTCTCCTAATGCTTTTGGACACCAGTGCCTCTCCCAATATTTGTAGCCCAGACAGAAGTAACAATAGTCCACTGCCATGGCAACAGAGCAGGCTGATGTCAAAGCAGCTGCTGCCGTGTGCATTCAGACTCTGGATAGGTGACCGTTATGTCAATTAAGTATCAAAAACTCCAAAGGCCAGAAAACATGCACATATGTGTACCAGCAACCAAAGGTGGACATCAACCTTGTAAAGTTGGATAGAGCTTGGCCAAAAGCTGTCGTTGTTCACAGAGACACATCCATTATGTCAAAAAGGATTTGCTAAACCTGTGGAGAGCGGTCACGCACTGAGGAGATTACATAACGCCTCTAGTTTTCATTTAAAAATATGATGTTAAAAGGATTGTTCACCCAAAAATTTATGTTCTGTCATTATTTACTCACCCACCATGTGATTCCAAACCTCTATGGTATTATGAAGAACAAAATATATTCTGAAGAAAAGAATATTCTGATCACATAGACATTTTTGTTGTTGTTGTTGTTTTTAAGCTTTCAAGGAATCAAAAATAAAGCATAAGCACCATAAAAGCATCATAAAATTGATCTGAGCCATAGACTGCAGTGTTCCACCAAATTGCGCAGTACAGCTTCAGACAAGTTCTGCCTCAAGGTCCTTCCTCACTTCCGTTTGCCTCTTTCCTTTCACTTCCTGTCTCTAGTCAGTTGTCCACTCCAACAATAGCAAAAAATGTGTCAAAAAACACTACCTTTCAAAAGCCTTTTTAAGAAATTAATACTTTTCTTTAGCAAGAACACATAATATTGATTAAAGGCGACAGTAAAGACGTGCATTGTTACAACAAAACCTATTTCAAATAAATGCTATTCTTTTGAACTTTCTATTCATAAAATTAATTAATTAATTAATAACATAAATCCTGAAAAAAATGTATCACAGATTCCCCAAAAAATATTAAGTAATTAACAACTGTTTTCAACACTGATAATAAGAAGAAATATTTCTCGAGCACGAAATCCATATATTAGAATGATTTCTGAAGGGTCACGTGACACTGAAGACTGGAGTAATGATTGCTGAAAATTCAGCTTTGCCATCACAAGAATAAATTACAATTTAATATATATTAAAATAGAAAACCATTTTAAATTGTAATAATATTTCACAATATTTTTGATCAAATAAATGCAGCCTTGGTGAGCATAAGGGACTGACCTCAAATTTTTGAACAGTAGTGTATATCTCAAATCTCATACATATTCTGTGCACTGCATTCAGTGACGACACATCTAACATCAAACTTAAAGTTAGCAAAAAACACTTCTTTTTGGTTGATCTATTAGCAACAATGGAGTTTGGAAAAGCATGAGGGTGAGAAAATGACAGACTGTTTATTTTTGGTGTGAACTCTTCTAGTAATTCACATTCTGCTACACTTTTCTCACATTCCAATCTGGATCCCAAATGCGAACAAGAAGCTCAAATAGGTCTATTACATGCCTGCCTACAAAAACCCATAAATGCACTCCATTTACTCAGAAGAGGATATTCAGGCCCGCAGAGGACCGTGGGAAGTGTGTACGGTGGGAGTGTGCGCTGATGTTATTCATAGTTCACTGGGCTGTTTAAGGGCACATCCCTATTCGCTTTCAGGTGATGGAGGGAGTCGGATCGTCCCAGTCCTCACACTATGAAGGTTACACAAGAGAAAACAAAACAAACGAGTAGAACTTCATCTAATGGGCAGTGACAGAGTAAGGTGGGCGTAACAGCGATAAAAAGCTCATATTGTCTGCAAAGCAAAATCACATGTACGATCACTTCAAGCGTATCAGGTTACATGACCGGCAAACAAACAACAAGCTTAAAGCCTTTTAAGCCTAAACAACTGTTACAGATTCATTCCAAATGCTCACTCATGCACACACACACTCACACAGGAATAAAAATACTCACAGAATGAAGCGGACCTTGTCAGGAACAGGATGCCATGGATTGCTGTGGTAACAAGTGAATGCAGTCCTCCGGGGAATCGCAACACGTCTTCTAGGATGACAGGTTGAAAGTCACAGAAATGGAGTGGTGTGGAGAGTCTCAAAGGAGAAGGTATTCCAGCTAGAAATGATCCATCTGAGAGCCCTTCACAAGCTGTGATTCTTATAATAATCCATTTGATGGGACAAAAGTAGTTTTTTTTTTTACAAAGCTCAAGCACTCAGAGGAAAAAGAACCCCACCAATGGGCACCAAAAATATGGTGACAGAAAACTGAAGTGTCACTGTTATTTATTTATTTATTTTTTGCTGTATCCGTCCCTCTCTCTCTCTCTCTCTCGCTGTTAATGTTGACCCTCCCGGCTCCAGCTCAAAAATAGGAGGGAGCGGCGATAATGGCCAATTCTCAGAATTCTGCACTCCAAGAGACAATCACATGCTCCTGCATGCACATTCGCACACAAACGTACTCTCCTGTGCACACTTAGAGGCTTCGATTATGCATTGCCGTCTAGCTGCCTCTTCCTGTCAGCCCTCGGCACAAACTCTCATCCATTGCTACACAGGCCTTCTAAGTCTTGCATATACGCACTCCAACTCAAAACGTTCCAAGACCAGTCAGCGCTTTTACCCTGCTTTCCTCTGCCACCTCACTCTATCTTACACGTTGTTGCTTTTAGTTTCACAGAGAATCGTTCCTCAGGCCCACCTGCCACATTTGATGAAGGGGAGCATCGACTTGAGCAAAGAAACTAGAATATATTTAAAACATATAGTGAAAGATATGAAATCTCAGAGCAAAAATCCTCCAGAATAAGTTGAGCTCAAGTGTCTGGGAGGATGAACTGATTATGGAGCCCAGCACTCGGGTGGAGACGTGGAGAGCGGCTCACACTCTGTTCTCCAGCACCCTCATCAATCCAGCTATCCCTCCAATTCCCACGGCTCCTCCCTTCAGGAGTTCAGGAATGAGCTTTGGCACGCCAGACACTCCCTCTCTCATAGGAATAGCACCTCTAGGATGGAGGCAGGTCGAGTTATGGCTGCTCCGACGTCCGTGGAAGCAAACAGAGAGGAGGGGCGTCACATCTGTCGCCGCTCTGAGAATTTCCTCATCAGAGTCTCGTGGCCTTGCGTTGCTTAAGACCTGAGGAAAAACAGTGAGAAATATTCATGATCAATTATTCATAATGCTGTAGTACAGACGACAACCTTCAATACTGTTATGACTGCTCTAGTACGAGGGAGTTTTGAAATACCATACCGATTTTTTTGAACTAAAACCACAATCTCATTATAGTACTTCCCGGCTCACATTATATTTTCACAATAGTAATTCAGTCACACCATGCATTTATATTACAGTCTGTAACAGCGAGTGTACTGTGTCAATGTAATTAATGTAATGTTATTGAATGGATGTGCTCAAACGTGACAAGTCCATTACATTGCAATCAATATCCAATCAAAACACAGCCTCATTATCATTCAATAAGACCAGTGAAGTACTGTATCATGACTGAACTGACATTAGCTACTACTAATGATGTCTAACTAGGAATGTCAGGGACAAATAGTCATGTGTAACACTATTTACTTCCTTAATGAATGTTCCTGCTCTTATTGTGAATGATTCATTGTAGCACATTATTCCACAAAAAAAAAAAAAGGTATTTTAACCAAAAAGAAATGTCTTTCTTTTGCTGTTGATGTGACTATCGGATATATTAATCAATATTAGGCATTGTTTTAGCAAACTAGCATTCAAATTTGGCTTCATTCTAACATCTAACGTACGTTTCATGATCCAATCATTTGCTGCTGGATGAAATGAATTCTCGCCCTATACTTTCGCACATTGAATATCATGTTTCACTCAAAAAATATGTCATATTAAAAATGAAAAATCGGTTGTGAATGGCCTTTCACTTAGATTAATAGTTAAATTTGTTATACATGCTGGAAAGTACTGGCATATTCAAATTAAACTGAATATTTACCAAGGCTGCAAACAAACACACAATAGACAAGGGATTTATAGCAGATTCATCTGGACCTGGCCATGGGTTCCCAGAATGACTAATTGTAGATGGTCGTGTCAAATAACAGCTTCATCAGAGCGTAAAACTCTCTGGTGAGACGGACTGTTCTATAAATATGAAAGGAGAAGGTAATTAAAGGTGGATCCCAGGCGTGGAGCTGTTCTATCCAGATTCTTATTTCCATACAATTCTCCATGTCATGCTTTGATTATGAGGGTGCCTCTCTCATCAGCAGGACTGATATAAAGGGGAGGAGGAGGAGAGGAGAGGGGTGAAGGGAGACAAAAAGAGTGATGAGAGACAGGAGAGGAAGTGACATGGATGGTGGCAGAGTGAGAATGAGATGTTAAAAAAGGACTGCATTAAAGAGATATGCTCTGTTAGAGAAAAAAAGAGGACAGGAGAGGTCGCAGAGAGGTGTAGAGACAAAAAGGGAGAGACAAAGAGAGACAGTGGGACAGTGAGAGACGGGTAGAAACAGAATAAAAGAATAACTACTGGGGAGCTCAGTTATGCAGCTCTTGCAGCAAAATTCATATTTGAGCAGCACACCCTCAGAAACCAATTACAGATTTAACCCTTAAAGTGTAGGAACATAAAAAATTCTATTTATAACTAAAACGTAGGATAAAAATAATGTAATCAAAATACTTTTTTTTCAGAATATAGATTTATTTATTTTATATAACAGTATGTATCTCCCATGAAAATACCATAAAGCATATTAACATTTACCTCAAAGTCAGTGCTATTCTCAAAGCATGCTGCCTTGTTACTTTTAGATAAAGATGATATGTTATACCAAGTAACTTTACCTGAGTATTTGCAAGGACTCATTTTCAATGGTTTTAAAATAATAATAAAAGTGAACCCACTCCTCATTCCACATAATTGGATGATACCTTTTAGCACATTTCAAGGGTAAAAGGGTCCATTGTCTGTTGCCAATAGTGTATTGATGTACAGAGCACATCTCACACAGAAGTCACTTTCAAACCAAGCAGCTTTCTGTTGGTCAATGTGTCAAATCCATGAATTTTGTGTGGATTCCTACTAATATGACTGGATTTCACCTGCGAAAATTCACTGAACAACTGTAAATGGGTGGGTTACATTGACTTGGCCAGGAAGAAACCACCCAGAACACACTAGCAACCACGCAACAAACACCTATTAAAAAGATCTCAGAAACCAAAACGCAACAGTCTGGCATCCAGGTTGCGGCGGTGAGTTTGGCATGGGAAATTAAAAGAATTTTTAATTGATGTTTCAGCAAAATAATCATGCAAATACAGCATTTTTAAATTGACAACTGAAACTGAAAAATTCACAAAAGAATGATAGAAGAAGTGAAGAGACAGACAGAGTGAAGGGAAATGAGAGGGGATCACTATACAGTCCTGACATTGGTGTCAATCTTGCTTATCACACATGTCGCTCTCAGGAGCGTCTTACTGAAGTCTGCCTCTTTTCTTCTCTATTTCCATCCCTTCCTTCTATTCTTTGAACCAGCCATCCTGTTAGCCCTCCTGCTCTCTCACTCCTTCTACCAACACAGACGAGTCATTCTTCATGCTCACACAGCTATATACACAGGGCTGAAGGCCTGCTGACTCACAAACCCTGTAAAATGGTTAATAAGGCAAGAAGATGCAGGGGAAGACGGACACAAAAATATGACCAGACTTGTATCGTGACCTTTTAAAGCTTTCTAAAACACTACTGATCAATACACAGCCATCTACACACAAATACTCCCATGGGAGCATTTAGCATGTTAGCACACTGTCACTAGTGTGAAAGTGAGCAGGTGAGATCTGGTGGGGTGTCTGTGTGTGTGTATCAGGTGGGAAGACACAGAGACAAAAGGGTAGATATCTGGATTGATGTAATGTGAGAAATCCACATCTGAGGCACCAGACAAGAGCTGCCATGTTCTCTTCACGCGCGCACACACACACAAGTGCAGAAAAAAGAAAAAAGACTGAAGTTACATGTGAGTGAGTCAGCTGGATCTGTTAACAGTGAGCAACAGTGTCCACCACACACATATAACAGACACACACACAAACAGCAGCAGTGCCAATGTGTGCTACAGGAAAGATTTCTGCCTTCACCCTGAATATAAACGGACTATGGAAAATCACTGCACAACTCATTTTCTTCTTAACCAGTATTTTTGTCTTGTTTTAAGGATCTAAACAGCCTTAAAAGAAGATAAATTTACTTGAGAAACAAATTTTTGAATCACATTTATTTTTCATACCCCATGGACCCAGTGTTTTATGCTTAAATCTCATTAAATTGTGATGGATTTACATAATATATATAATATATATATATTCTTGGTAAATATTGGGAGGGGGACAAATATAAGAATTTAATGAGGTTTATGCTTAAAGCAAGAAAAAAAGTCTATTATCTTACAGAAAAAAAAACCTTTTACATTTTTCAAATAAAATTAAACTTGTTTTTAAAATGTTTAGATATTTACTTAAATAAAAAACAAGAATACAAATTAAGAACATATTACACTTATGATTTATGTTTAAAATATTTTTCTTTTAGGCATTTATTTGATGTTTTTTAAGCATACATTTTTATTGTAATGTATGTTTAAAACAAGAAAAACCAAATTCCAGTGGGGTAAAGAAACTTACTTCAAAATATATTCTCTAAAAACAGATTTTGTACTATTTAACAAAACAACTAAAATATTGAAACACATCTTGGTTTGGATCTTTTTCCTAGAAACCCAGGCAAAATACTGATTATTTCCAGTGTACTAATGAAGAAAGAATCAGGATAGTAGAGAGGAGAGGGGCAGCAAATACAAATTTCTTTAAAATGTGCCAGTAGACGAAGATAGCCACCTCTCTCCGACTCAGACTAGAGGATGGAGGAAGAATAAAAAAACAGGGAGATCAGGAAACAGGGGAAGAGGGGAGAAAATCTTAACGGTGCACTGAGATTTAACGAAACAGCAAATGAGAAATTCATCAAGAGTGATGCCAGAGGACATCTATGACAGGGATGACAGAGATGAGGCAAAAAGAAAGGACTTCAGAGAGATCTAGAGAAAAACCAGAGGGCTAGAGAGGGCTTGAGAGGCTGTTGAAAACTCACCCCTGTGTGAGAGTGGTCCTCCTCAGGTTAACACAATCCCTGCTCTGTGGAGCCATTCTGAGCAGAGCCTGTTTGGAGCACTGCACACTGTCTACAGAATACCAATCACACGCCGGCAACACACACACACACACACACACACACACAGTGTCAGTCAGCAGCATGACATACTCTTTCACTCAATGTTTCAAAAGCAAGCCACCACAACACCATAGATGTGCTTTATGAGCTGTGAATGAAATGGTCATAATGTGACACAAACATACACACAGATACACACGGTGAGACGCAGTTCCAATGACGACCCCAGTGATGGGGGACAACAGGCCGATCTGCTCAGGAACTGAAGATGAGAGGATCGTGTGAAGCTCCTCTGGTGCGCCTCAGTCTTCTCACACACTCTCTTCAGCGTCGAGCATCAAGAGGCTCTGTAATGTTTCTCTTCCACCCTCTGTCCTTTTCTCCTTTGCTTTCCTTTCTTTTTCAAGTCCCTGACAATGTTCATAGCTGTAATTCCAAAGCACAGCAGTGCAAGCTGCATTCACTCTGACTCCAAACCCCCTCCCTTCCTCATATGCGCTCCCTCTCTTTCTCTCTCTCTCTCTCTCTCTCTCTCAGCTCATTGTATCCACATATCTCCTCTGCTCTCCCTCCAATCCAATCAGCTCTCGCTCACTCTTCTCTCGCTGCTCCTTCCTACACCCCTTTTCTCCTTCTCTCTCACTCCTCCTCCTTTTTCAAAGGCAAATATCAGCAAGCTTCAGTGAGATCACTAGCTTCTCAGACAAGTATTCAAATAAGTGAAGAAAACCATCACAAACGTAAAACACTTGACATGCCTTGACGCAGCAGCACACGCCAGGTAGCAGACGTCACGATGCCAACTCAAACTACACACGTACTGATAGTATTTGAATATACAGAACGAGCTGACAAACTAACACAAACCCAACAGGTTATACGTGTTCGAAAATTCATTTAAAACTAACAATTTCTCTCATAAAACTTAAGAGAATAATTATTACTTAATATAACAATTATTATAATAAATATATATATATATATAATTAAATAATTAATAATAAATAATTTATGCATTTAGCAGACGCTTTTATCCAAAGCGACTTACAGTGCATTCAGGCTATACATTTTTTACCAGTATGTGTGTTCCCTGGGAATATATATATATATAACGTTCTGTTAATAATATTAAAGGCAAATATGTATTAATTTTATTTAAATATATTATATATTTTAATTATTATTTGTATTATTTTATTTTACCTTTATTTGACACAAATGGAAAAAAAGAACAAGCTAATTCACTGACAGTCAGATTCCACAAGCGCACTGACAATACTAATCCTAACAATTAACTTCTAACTATTTGCTAAACATGCAAGTTGTGTCTCTTTAAGGGTTGTTATGTGCACCTGTTGTTAAGCAGGAGTCCCCTTCACTGCAGCCCTGTTTGTCTACACACTGGAGAATCATCCCCCCCTTTCCCCCTCTCTCTCTCTCTTT